ATGTCATCTCGAGCAGCGACATCGAGTAGAGTGCGCAGTGTGGGAGGTTTGGCGGTGGGAGAGAATGTCTCAAAGAAGTCCAGTCCACGCTTTTGGGTAAATCCCTTGGCACAGTACCGGGCTTTGAAGACAGGAAATTCGCCTGGAAGTTGTTTCACCCGAAAGACCCATTTTCCCTTCACAATGTTAACACCGGAGGGAGGAGAGACGTCTGTGAAAGTTCCTGTGTGAATGAAGGCCTCACATTCTGTGACAATGGCCCCCATCCACTGAGCGGCGTGAGGACCAGAGACTGCTTCAGCATAGGTGAGAGGTGTGGGGATGGAAGGGTTGTCGGAGAAATTGAGGGTTGGAGAGTCTGCGATGTCTGGAAAGAGGGAGCATAGTGCGTGGATGGCTGAGTCGATATCAATCAACTCCTCATGTCTGTCTTCAAGGAGGGATGGCATGAGAGAATAATCACCCCCGACAGGAGGAGGATTGAGAGAGACGCGAACGGAAAGGGAGAACGGTTGTGGAGGTGTGCGAGAGCGGGTGCGAGAAGCGATGGGTGAGGGAGGCGGGGCCGGAGTAGGCGTAGCGGAAGGAGAGGTGGGGGTGGGAGGGAGAGTGGAGACAGGATCGGGATCAGGGGTGGGAGCAGGAGGAGGAGGAGCTGGGTGACGGCGTTGGTAGGTTTTGAGAGGAACATGCTCGGTAGGAGGAGATGCGAGAGGAGATGGAGGATGGGTAGCGGAGGAGGGAGGGAGCGAGGGAGACTGTGTGGTACTGGAGGGGGAAGCGGGTGATGGGGGATCAGAAATGGTGGAGGGAGCGGGAAGAGGAGGAGATGGAGTATCGGGAAGAGGGAGACTGTCAAAGTCAGCCCAAGTAAGAGAGGGAGGCGGAGGAGAGCGGGAAGCCTTGGAGGAGGGGTAGAATGGGTGGGACTCATCAAAGTAAACGTCCCGGCTGCGATAGAGCTTGTTGGTGGAAGGATGGAGGAAGAGATAGTCTTGCGAGTCTAAGTTGTGCCCGAGGTATACGCACGTGATCGTTTTGGGAGCAAGTTTGCCGCCAGCCGCACGACGGGCTTGGGAGTTGAGGAGGACATAAGAAGTGCACCCCCATACACGAAGAGGGCGGACGGATGGTTTTTGACCCGTCCATAGCTCAGCGGGGGTGGTGTGGGTGTGATGAGGATGGGGATGGAGATTGTGGAGGGCGGCAGCATGAAGCATGGCGTACCCCTAGAGAGAGGGAGGGGCGGAGGCGTGCGTCAGGAGGCAGCGAGCAATCTGCACCAATGTACGGTTCCGGCTTTCGGCAATACCGTTCTGTTGGGGACTGTCTGGGAGAGTGAAGGTCTGACGGATACCCTCAGTGGAGCAGTAAGTTTTGAGAGTGTTGTTGCGGAATTCACCGCCGCCGTCAGAGTGAAGGACCTTGATGGTGGTTTTGAAGTGTTTATGAGCCTGCTTCGCCCATTCAATGATTACGCCTGGGGCTTCGGATTTGGAGGAGAGAAGGTGGACAGACACATAGCGGGAGTAGTCATCAATAATGACAAGGAAGTAAAAGTGTCCACCGCGAGAGCGAACAGGAGCTGGGCCCCAAAGGTCCATGTGCACGCGATCGAGAGGTGCAGCGGAGATGGACTCAATGGGGGGATGGGGCTGTTCACGAAGCTTGCTCTGTGCACAGTCAAGGCAAGGCGGCCCTAGGGTGGAGGTAGGAGAGGGAAGTGAGGTTGGAAGCCCGTGGAGGAGTTGTTTTGTGGCAAGGTCTGAAAGCGCGCGAAAGTTGATGTGGCCAAGGCGGTGATGAAAGAGCATGGTTTTGTCGGAAAGGAGGCGGCAGTGACAAGTGGAGGAGTCAAGGGAAGGTAACGGGAGGTTTGTGAGGGAGCACGTTCGAATGGGAGGTACTACGAGCGTGTATAGGTTGTTGGAATTGAGAGTGAAGCGGGCTAGATGAATGCCGGTTTTGGCGTCAAAGAGGTCACAGTAGTCGACATCATTGGGAAAGATGGTGATGACTCCTGCTTGTTGGATTTCACTTTGTGCCAGGAGGTTGTGGCGGAGGGTGGGGGCACAGATGCCAGTGACTGTGCCCGATGGAAATGCTGGACAAGGAACTGTGGAGGACCCATGGCATTGGATGGAGAAGCTAGAGTCGGCTCCGAGGAGTGGGATAGGAGCCTGGTAAGGAACGAACGCGGTTTGGTCTTTGAGCACTGTGTGGGTGGCACCACTGTCTAGTATGAACTCGATCCCTTGTGTGTTTGAAACCCCGATGTACTGTGACCCCTTCTCATTAATAAGACCAGCACCTGAGAACAACAGGTTGAGGCGAATATAAGATGGGGTGCTATCAACTGAGGGACTAGGCACCTCCACTGCCTCGACATAGTTCACGCGACGGGGTGGGGCCCAGTTGGGAGGGCGCTTGTTGGTGGAGACACCATGGACGTCGTACCACTCATCATCTCGCTTCTTGAAGCAAGTTGCCTCAGGGTGGTTGGTGCCTGCGCATTTCTGCCCCGCACGTGGGCCTTTCCTAATGATGTAGGGGCATGGGGGAAAGGAGTTGCGCCTTGGTCCTTGTTGGGAGCAGAATGGGATTCCAAGGGTGTAGCGCACAGCATTGACGGATGCTTGGGCTGCAAGGTCCTTTTCGGCGGAAATGAGAGCTGATGCGACTTTTTCGAAGGTGAGTTCCTTGGTGGGAAGTTGCTTGAGCATGGAGCTGGTGACATTGTAGGCCGGGGTCAGTCCTACAAGTAGGCCAGCTGCAGGTGCTTGTTCGGGGAAAATGATCCCAATGTCCTTGAGTTCCTCATGGATGTTGCGGATTTCAGAGATGTAATCTGCCATGCCAGGGCATTCCTCAAGGCGGACCTGGAACATTCGAGGGATGAGGATGGCAACACCCACTGCTGTCTTGTCATGGAAACGGTCCTGGAGGTACTTCCAAATCGCATGAGCGGAGCGAAAGGTGCGGTAGGATTTGACGAGTTCAACCGGAGTGGTGGTGATGAAAACCCTAATAACTGCTGCATCTGCCTGCTCCCACACACTGAAATCAGTCTCATACTTGGTGGTCTGAGCGTCAAAAGCGGCCTTCTTTGCGGCAGTGGCGCCTTCGCCAAGGGGATCGGGAGGGAGAGGCATCTTTCCCTTGCCGCGGTTGAGGAGGATGTCCTTAAGGCAAATCCCTTTCAGTTCCGTGCTAAGGAGGTGCTTCTCCACCCCATAGCACCATTCTCCAAAGTTGGTGCTTGTGCCGTTGGGAGCGAGGTTGAGAATGATGAGGTTTCCGACGAGGGTAGAAGTTGAAATCGCCATTCGCGCGGAGCGCAGCGCTAAAGTCAACGATACGAAGCGGAGCGAAGTTCGCTGACTTTAGCGGCTGCGCGCAGCGCGGCGATTTTGAAAATTAATGAAGTCTGAAATGCGGAAAGGTGCGATTTTGCCAATAAGATTGCGATTCCTGTTCTGCTTCTCTGCTTCGCCGATGACCCCTTTTCTGCTGCGCCGATGACCTGTTCCGCTGCGCCGCTGACCTGTGCTGCTGCGCCGCTGAACCTGCTCTGCTGCGCCGCTGAACCTGCTCTGCTGCGCCGCTGAACCTGCTCTGCTGCGCCGCTGAACCTGCTCTGCTGCGCCGCTGAACCTGCTCTGCTGCGCCGCTGAACCTGTTCTGCTGCGCCGATGAACCTGTTCCGCTGCACCGCTGAACCTGCTCTGCTGCGCCGCTGACCTGCTCTGCTGCGCCGCTAAACCTGCTCTGCTGCGCCGCTGAACCTGTTCTGCTGCGCCGATGAACCTGTTCCGCTGCGCCGCTGAACCTGCTCTGTTGCGCCGCTGACCTGCTCTGCTGCGCCGCTGAACCTGCTCTGCTGCGCCGCTGAACCTGCTCTGCTGCACCGATGAAAACCTGCTGGAAGTTTCGAATGTGAGAAAATTGCCACGGAAATTTGAAATTTCAGAGCTTACGATGAAGGAAATTGACGGAGAAATGTGCCGCCGTGGAAATCGGAAATGCACCGCCGTGGAAATCGGAAATGCACGTAGACGGAGCGGGAAAGCGCTTTTGACCAGTGCGACGATGTGAAGACGAAAAAATGCTAAGCGAAGAAGGCGTGAACCAAGAACGCCATAGCCGAGAGGAAGAGAATGATCGCGACGCCAAGGATCGGATTCCGCGTGAGCGGAATGTGCTAGCTCTGATACCATGACGGAATTGGAACTGAACTGATTGATTAAGAAAGAAGGCACTAGGCCTTAAGTACAAACGAGGTTGGGATGGGCAAGGCTAGGGAAAGGATGGGATGGGAATCCTAGCAAATCTCCAATTGGTGAGTTGGCAGATTTGCAGGATTACGAGGGAATCCCAACCAGATAGGGTTGGGATCACAAACTACACCCAACCCACAAATAACCTACGCGATATAGAATATAGTACACAAAGTGTTGACAGCCTAATTCTAACAAACATGCCCTCTAGGTTCAGCTGGGCTCTCAACCCAACCAGCTCTGTCGCCTTGTACTCTTCGCCTAACCAATATATCCTCTTTGCCCTCCATCTCAAGGTATGTTTTTTGAAAAAAAAAAAAAAAAAAAAAAAAAAAAAAAAAAAACATACTCAGCTGGGCTTTCAGCCCAACCAACTCTATCGCCTTGTAATCTTCACCTAACTAAAATATCTTCTTCGCCCTCCATTGCTCCTAACTTTTGAGGCGCACCTCAACAAGTCGCCTTGTACTCTTCACTTCACCTAACTAATATATCCTGCTCGCCCTCCATCTCTCCTTACCAACACGAATGCTTACATAATGGCTAGAGAGCCGAGGGAGGAGAGGGCAGAGGGTATCGATCCAGTGAGTGTGTTGTTGGCCAGGCCTCTGCAGGAGAGCAGAGGAGAGCAAGGGAGAGAGAGAAGGACGATCTGTTTTTGAGGCGCCTCAAAACAGAGGAGAGCAAGGGAGAGAGAGAAGGACGATCTGTTTTTGAGGCGCCTCAAAACAGAGGAGAGCAAGGGAGAGAGAGAAGGACGATCTGTTTTTGAGGCGCCTCAAAACAGAGGAGAGCAAGGGAGAGAGAGAAGGATGATCTGTTTTTGAGGCGCCTCAAAACAGAGGAGAGCAAGGGAGAGAGAGAGACGATCTGTTTTTGAGGCGCCTCAAAACAGAGGAGAGCAAGGGAGAGAGAGAAGGACGATCTGTTTTTGAGGCGCCTCAAAACAGAGGAGAGCAAGGGAGAGAGAGAAGGACGATCTGTTTTTGAGGCGCCTCAAAACAGAGGAGAGCAAGGGAGAGAGAGAAGGACGATCTGTTTTTGAGGCGCCTCAAAACAGAGGAGAGCAAGGGAGAGAGAGAAGGACGATCTGCTTTTGAGGCGCCTCAAAACAGAGGAGAGCAAGGGAGAGAGAGAAGGACGATCTGTTTTTGAGGCGCCTCAAAACAGAGGAGAGCAAGGGAGAGAGAGAAGGACGATCTGTTTTTGAGGCGCCTCAAAACCGAGGAGAGCAAGGGAGAGAGAGAAGGACGATCTGTTTTTGAGGCGCCTCAAAACAGAGGAGAGCAAGGGAGAGAGAGAAGGACGATCTGTTTTTGAGGCGCCTCAAAACAGAGGAGAGCAAGGGAGAGAGAGAGAGACGATCTGTTTTTGAGGCGCAAGGGGGGGAGTAACTGACTGGGGGAGGTGGCAACTGACTGGGGGAGGTGGTAACTGACAGGTACTGTAATGCAGCGAGAGAGGAGAGGCCCGCAGGCAAAGAGCCTGAGAGCTTGTTGTTTGATGCACTCCTGGGAAGGGGGGAGAGGGGGGAGGTATGGGGGAGGGAGGCGGAAAGGGATATGGAAAGGGTGGGTGGGTGGGAGGCGAGGCGAGGCCTGCAGTCTAGGAGCCTGAGAGCTTGTTGTGAGACGCACGCCTGGGATGGAGGAGGTGGGTGGGTGGGGGGTAAGCGAGAAGGAAGGAGGCGGAAAGGGATGTGGAAAGGGTGGGTGACAGGCAACGCATATTGGAGTGACTTTTGAGAATTCTCAAAAGGAGGCGGAAAGTGATGTGGAAAGGGTGGGTGACAGGCAAGGCCGGGACTGCAAGCAAGGAGCCTGAGGGCTTTTTGTTGGAGGCACTCCTGGGAAGGGGAAGAGGGGGAGAGGGGAAGAGGGGGAGAGGGGAAGCCAGCTTTTGTCAAGAAGCCAGCTTTTGTCAAGAAGCCAGCTTTTGTTCTCGTTTACATTCCAGGGTTCTTTAAACAAGAACGCACAGTAGACGAGAGGAGCAAAGGGGGAGACTGGAGCCCATACAGACGCTGTCAGGTTTGAAGGTTTTTAGGGCTTAGGGTCTTGACGAAACGCACGAGACTCACAGGTAGATGAGAGAGGCAAAGGAGGAGATTGTAGCTGGTACAGATCCTGTGAGGGTTTAAGCTTTTAGGGCTTAGGGCTTGGAAACAAGAAGTCATGTCACGAGACTCACAGGTAGATGAGAGAGGCAAAGGAGGAGATTGTAGCTGGCACAGATCCTGTGAGGGCATTCTTGTCGATGAAGCTGCACGGACGCAAGGGAAGGTGCAGAAGAGAAGGTACCGAGCGGAGCAAGACTTGAGAGACCAGGAACCAAGTAGCAAGTATCCACTATGCTGACTAGGTACAGATCCTGTGAGGGCATTTCTGTCGATGAAGCTGCAGGGAAGCAAGGGAAAGTGCAGAAGAGAAGAGAAGAGACGAGAAGAGAAGAGAAGAGAAGAGAAGAGAAGAGACGAGAAGAGACGAGAAGAGACGAGAAGAGAAGAGAAGAGAAGAGAAGAGAAGAGAAGAGAAGAGAAGAGAAGAGAAGAGAAGAGAAGAGACGAGAAGAGAAGAGAAGAGAAGAGAAGAGAAGAGAAGAGACGAGAAGAGACGAGAAGAGACGAGAAGAGAAGGTACGAAACAGAACGACAAGTAAAAGAGCAGGAACAAAGAAAAGAAAGAAGTACCTACTCTGGTGCCTAGGTTGACACCCAGAGAACAGAGGGAGAACACCCAATCTCTGGAGTGAATCCAGTGTTACAGTAAGATAGCTAAGGTGGGTTGTTTCGCGCACTCACAGGAAGCGGAGGTTTGTGAGGGTCTTGAGCTGCGATGGAATGGCTCCTGTGAGCGTGTTGTTGCTCAAATAGCTGTGGGATGGGGTGGGATGCAGTGGAGTGGGGTGGGATGGGTTGGGATGGGTTATCATGAGTCACGAATAGAGCTGTGCTGGAATGGCTCCTGTGAGCGTGTTGTTGCTCAAATAGCTGTGGGATGGGGTGGGATGCAGTGGAGTGGGGTGGGATGGGTTGGGATGGGTTATCATGAGTCATAGATTGAGCTGTGCTGGAATGGCTCCTGTGAGCGTGCTGTTGCTCAAATAGCTGGCGGGAGTTTGGGACGGGGTGGAGTGGGTGGGGTGGGATGGGGTGGAGTGTGGTATCAGGAAATGCAAATGGGAGCTGTTGCTGTGAGTGAGTTGTTGCTTCAATAAATGGCGGGGAAGGTAGGGTGGGGTTGGGTGGGATGGGGTGGAGTAGGGTGGGATGGGGTGGAACACGGTGGGATGGGGTGGAATGGGTATGGGCGGGATGGGGTGGAGTAGGGTGGGATGGGGTGGAGCACGGTGGGATGGGGTGGAATGGGTATGGGCGGGATGGGGTATCATGGGACGCGGGTGGAGTTGGGTTGGATGGCTCCTGCGAGTGTGCTGTTGCTCAAATAGCTGACGGGGGTGGGATGAGGTGGGATACAGTGGGGTGGGGTGGGTTGGGATAGGGTTGGGTTGGGTGTGGTTGGTAAGTGTGGGAATTGTGCCAAATGAAGTCACTTCTGAGACTTTTCATACAACAGAGTGACCCAGACGTACAAATAACCGAGCGACTCACAGCCCGTCCCGGTTGGTGAGCGTGCTGAGCTGAGAGGGGATCGTGCCCATAGGTCGCTATCGGTACTTGCTTGCTATATGGGAGTGAGTGACTCAGAATCTCAGAAAGTGACTTGAGAAATCGAAGCGACTCACAGCCCGTCCAGGTTGGTGAGCGTGCTGAGCTGAGAGAGGGGTGAATGAGTTTAAGAAAGACTCAAACAAATCTAGACGCAATCAAAACACAGGAGTGACTCAACAGGAGTGACTCACAGCCCGTCCAGGTTGGTGAGGGCGCTGAGCTGAGAGGGGATCGTGCCGGAGAGCTTGTTGTTCCGGATATCCCTGGGTTGATTTGAGTAGATGAGGTGAGGGGGTGGGTGGATGGGCGGATGCATTTCTGAGGAGCCTCAAAAAGAGTGCTGAGCTGAGAGGGGATTGTGCCGGTGAGCTTGTTGTTCCGGAGGTACCTGGTTTGAGGCGGTGAGGCGATGGGGAGGATGGATGAGTGGTGGATGAGTGAATGGGTGGATGGGTGGATGGATGAGTGGTTGATGAGTGAATGGGTGGATGGGAGGATGGATGAGTGGTGGATGGGAGGATGAGTGGATGGGTGAATGGGTGGATGGGTGGATGGGAGGATGGGTGGATGGGTGGATGGGAGGATGGATGAGTGAATGGGTGGATGGGTGGATGGGAGGATGGGTGGATGGGTGGATAGGAGGATGGGTGGATGGGTGGATGGGAGGATGGGTGGATGGGAGGATGGGTGGATGGGTGGATGGGAGGATGGGTGGACGGGTGGATGGGTGATGGATTAGTGAATGCATGGATGGGTAGATGGGTGGATGCGTGGATAGATGGATGGGTGGTGGTGGAGGGATAGATGGGTGGATGGGTGGATGGGAGGATGGGTGGATGGGAGGATGAGTGGATGGGTGGATAGGAGGATGAGTGGATGGGTGGATGGGAGGATGGGTGGATGGGTGGATGGGAGGATGAGTGGATGGGTGGATGGGAGGATGGGTGGATGGGTGGATGGGTGATGGATTAGTGAATGCATGGAGGGGTAGATAGGTGGATGCGTGGATAGATGGATGGGTGGTGGAGGGATAGAGGGGTGGCCTTGAGTGCAGAGAGAGAAGGGAAATCTTGCCCTGCGGACGGAACTTGCCATATTATTTTGAGACTGCTCTCAAGCACAGCGAAGCGACCCATGGAATCATGGTGACCCTGAATCTTACTTTTGAGTCTGTTCTCACTCATTCACAGTGACCCATGGAGAAACGGAGTCCCTGAAGCTTACAGCGTCTGCATGGCCTTGAGCGCAGAGAGAGACGGGGGAATCGCTCCTGTGAGCAGAACTTGCTATATATTCTTCTGTTAACACTGTTCTCACTCACTCACAGTGACCCAGGGAAAACCGGTGTGTGAGCGCCTGCATCTTACAGCGTTTGCATGGCCTTGAGCGCAGAGAGAGACGGGGGAATCGCTCCTGTGAGCAGGTTGTCTTTCAGGTTACTGCAGCGGTGCAGCGCAAGGTGGTGCACGGAGGGTGAGCTTAAGGGGGAATCGAGGATGGAGGTCAAGACTAAAGGATGCGGAGAGGGAAGATTATTGAGGGTGGTACAAAAGTGGCAGTGAGGCAGAAAGGAGGTTGAGAGAAGCTGAGGGGGTGGAGGGAGGGGGAGTCTGGGGCGTTTGGGGAAAAAAAAAATATCACGTAACAGAATGGTACATGCACGAATAGATGAAAGATTCAAATTGTAGTTCTCAGCGCAGCTCCACGTAATAGCAGAATCTATAAGTGTCCAGTGGCAAAAATAAACCAAGGGCAACGGCCAACTTAAGAGCCAGGAACAGAAGCAAAAGCGAAGGGCAGACATTAAAGCCAAGCAGCTGGGCAGGTGTGGAGCGTACAGCTGGGTTAGTGCCACGAGTCTTGAGAGGCCAGCGGGAATTGATCCCGTGAGTTTATTAATGTCTAGCCGGCTGGACGGGGAGAGGGGAGGGGTGAAGGGAAGGGGAGGACAGGAAAGGATTTGAGAAGTCTTTAAGTGATTCTGTGCAGCAATATTGTTTTCGAAAGTGATTCTGTAGGGTGAGTCCATACAGTGCAAAGACCTTTCAGTCGATTCTATCACACCACCTCTGTACACTGTAGAACATATGTATGAGCACGACTACAATATCACATCGTCAACTCACAGCGTACGCACAGCCGCACAGGGCAGTGAGGTTAGTCCGTGCAGGGCAAAGAACTTTCAGTCGACTCTATCACACCACCTCTTTACATTGTAGAACATATGTATAAGCACGTCTTCAATACCACCTCTTCAACTCACAACGTACGCACAGGACAGTGAGGTTAGTCAGTGCAGAGAGTGCCTTGTGAGTCGACTTAGGTTAAGTTAGTCAGTGCGATACCTTTGGATTTTGAGGCGCCCCAAAACTCCAGCTCACTGTTTTGAGAATTGTAACGTACGCACAGGACAGTTAGGTTAGTCAGTGCAGAGAATGCCAATGGAATTGGCCCTGACATTGAATTGTTGATCATTTTTCTGCAATCGATTCGAAAAAAAAAAGCAAGGGACAGGAGAAGAAAAGGAGAGGAGAGAAAAAATATGAGAGATCGTGGTGCAGGAAATAAAATAAATTGTTTCACCACGCATGCATGTATTTCATAGCTACTGCCACGTCTCGCATCTAATGCCACGTCACACATTCAATGCCACGTCACACATTCAATGCCACATCACACATTCAATGCCACATCACACATCCAATGCCACGTCACAAATCCAGTGCCACGTCACAAATCCAATGCCATGTCACACATCCAATGCCGCATCACACATCCAATGCCACGTCACAAATCCAATGCAATGTCACACATCTAATGCCACGTCACCCGTGCGCACACGTCTTTGAGCTTTGGCAGAGCAGTGATCATGGTGGGGAAGGGCCCTGAAATGCCGCTTCTGCTCATGGACCTGAGAAGCACGAAGGACGGACAGAGGATGCAAAGCGCGGGGGGTTGGGGGATGGACAGAAGTACAGAGATACAGAGGAATATTGAAGAGCAGTAATCATTGAGGTGGTTTTTGAGGCGCCTCAAAAACCACCTCAGGGCAAGGGTCCAGAGATGCCGCTTCTGCTCATAGATCTGAGAAGCACGAGGGTGAAATGGACAGAAGCACAGGGAAACAGGAAATCGAGTGGAAACACAGGTATACAGGGGAATGTTGAAGGCCAGAAACCATTGTGGGGAAGGGCCCAGAAATACCGCTTCTGCTCATCTCAAAGGTTTTGCTCGGTTCAAACCAGAACCAGCTCTTGATTCTCAGGCAGGGTCTGTACCACAGCACAGCACAGCTCCTCGTCTCAGTATTGTCTTTGGAGCTAATACGTACATACAGCCACAGGCAAACGCGCATTCTTGAGGCGCCTAAAAAATTGCCTCAACACGTGGACCTGTACACCACAGCACAATCATGCCTCATGTCTGTAACAGTTTTGGAGTTGATACGTGCAGCCCTGTGCAGACGCATTCTCTTCGAGTGAAAGTGAGGTGACTTTTGAGTCGACTCAAAAGTCACTTTGTAACAGTTTTGGAGTTGATACGTGCAGCCCTGTGCGGACGCATTCCCTTCGAGTGAAAGTGAGGCTTACAGAAAAGTCATTTTCGTGAGCCTTGAGAACTCCGTTGGTAGACTGAGATTGCCAGTGGTGGTGCTGGAGAGCAGTCAGGCAGGGGGGGAAGGCCGGGGGATAGCTCGTTAGCCTTGGGAACCCTGATGGTAGAGGTGTGAGATTGCCGATGGTGGTGACGCAAAGCGGTCAGGGGAGGGGGGGAAGGGGGGAAGGGGGGACGATAGTAGGCGGACGTCTTAAAACTCTGTTGTTAGAGGTGTGAGATTGCCAGTTGTGGTGCTGCAAAGCGGTGGAGGGAGGATGGCTCGTGGCATGGCTTTTCCAAAAGATATGATTTTTTAGGCGCCTCACAAATATTTCAGGCGCCTCAGAGATGCTAAGAATAATCATAAGCTCTGGCCTTTCAAAGCATGGCTTTTCCAGAAGATAGAATGAAGCACTGCAGCACTCCACTCGTCTCACATAGCCGCACTCTACTCGTCTCACATAGCCGATAGGAAGGTGAGGTTGCCGATGGCAGCAGGAAGAGGTCCCAACGCATTGTACAGGTACCTGGCGGTGGTGGCAAGGAGATGGGGGGGTGAAGGGTGGGGGGGAGGGGGAAGGGATTGAAAGGGAGGCAGAGATGTTACAAGTGAGGAACTTTTGAGACGTCTCAAAAGGAGAGGCAGAGATGTTACAAGTGAGGAACAGCTCCTGGCGCGTTGTACAGGTACGTACCTGGAGGTGCCAAGGAGATGGGGGGGGGGGGGGGGGGGAGGAAGGAGAGGGGGCACACACACGAAGAGGCCCACACACACAGACTCCAAACAAGCCCTCACTCACTCACTCACTCACTCACTCACTCACTCACTCACGCTGATCACCAGGTCTGCGTCACAATGCAATCGCCTCGTCCTCGACTAAGGCGTTTCCTTATAGTGGGGGTTTGCAGCAGCACCACTCACGCACATGGCAATCATTAGTTGACTATCGTCCCTTTGCTAAAGGCGACCTTGCCTACTGCTGCCCTTCTTCATGGGCACAGATCCGCAGCACTACTCACGCACATGGCAATCACGTTGCCGTTGTCTTTGCTAGCAGTTGACCCGAAACCAGCTCACCCAGTCTCATGCTGATCACGATTTGCAGCACCACTCACTCACTCACTCACTCACCCACTCACTCACGCACATGACAATCACATTGCCGTTGTCGTTGCCGCCGTTGACCCCAAACAAGAGCAATCACAATCTCACACGCTCTCACACACTCTCGCCAATCACCTATCTGCGACCAATGTTCACCCTGACTCATGTTTCGAAGGGCTGCAGTAGTAGAGAGGACGCTTAAGCAAAGGAACAAACAGTAAAAACTGGTGAAAAAAACGCAGATGTTTTTTTAGGCGCCTCAAAAGTCCTCTCACACACTCTCGCCAAGCACCTATCTGCGACCAATGTAATCCCCTCCTCACCCACACCTTTTCTTTGCACCAATCACTCACGCACATGACAATCATGTTGCGGCTGGGTTAGACAAAAGTAAGAGCACCACTCACTGACTCACTCACTCACTCACTCACTCACTCACTCACTCACTCACTCACGCACGCACATGACAATCACGTTGCCGTTGTCGTTGCAGTTCACCCCAAACAGGAACGAGCAGTCGTCATTGGCCGTCCAGTACGCCTTGGGGCTGCGACTGGGAGTCACAAAGTTCATTCCGTCCCTGATAGCAAGGAGCGCGTTCCCTGGGAGAGGAAAGGGTACAGGCGAGGGGAGGGGCGGGAAAGAGAGATATATGGCAAGGAGGGCGTTCCCTGAGATTGGGAGACACATGCAGTGCAGGGCCGCAGGGGAGGGGTGTAAGGGAGACACATGCAGGGCCGCAGGGGAGGGGTGTAAGGGAGACACATGCAGGGCCGCAGGGGAGGGGTGTAAGGGAGACACATGCAGGGCCGCAGGGGAGGGGTGTAAGGGAGACACATGCAGGGCCGCAGGGGAGGGGTGTAAGGGAGACACATGCAGGGCCGCAGGGGAGGGGTGTAAGGGAGACACATGCAGGGCCGCAGGGGAGGGGTGTAAGGGAGACACATGCAGGGCCGCAGGGGAGGGGTGTAAGGGAGACACATGCAGGGCCGCAGGGGAGGGGTGTAAGGGAGACACATGCAGGGCCGCAGGGGAGGGGTGTAAGGGAGACACATGCAGGGCCGCAGGGGAGGGGTGTAAGGGAGACACATGCAGGGCCGCAGGGGAGGGGTGTAAGGGAGACACATGCAGGGCCGCAGGGGAGGGGTGTAAGGGAGACACATGCAGGGCCGCAGGGGAGGGGTGTAAGGGAGACACATGCAGGGCCGCAGGGGAGGGATGTAAGGGAGACACATGCAGGGCCGCAGGGGAGGGGTGTAAGGGAGACACATGCAGGGCCGCAGGGGAGGGGTGTAAGGGAGACACATGCAGGGCCGCAGGGGAGGGGTGTAAGGGAGACCAGTAGTTAGTGAGAAGCACAGGCAGAGCAGTCGTTGTTGGCTGTCCAGAACGCCTTGGGACCGCGACTGGCCATCATTGGAAGTTCATCTCATCCCTGATGGCAAGGAGGGAATTCCCTGGGAGGGGCGACACAGGCGACAGGGACGACACAGGTGACAGGGAGGGACGACACAGGTGACAGGGAGGGACGACACAGGCGACAGGGAGGGACGACACAGGCGACAGGGAGGGACGACACAGGTGACAGGGAGGGACGACACAGGTGACAGGGAGGGACGACACAGGCGACAGGGAGGGACGACACAGGCGACAGGGAGGGACGACACAGGTGACAGGGAGGGACGACACAGGTGACAGGGAGGGACGACACAGGCGACAGGGAGGGACGACACAGGTGACAGGGAGGGACGACACAGGTGACAGGGAGGGACGACACAGGCGACAGGGAGGGACGACACAGGCGACAGGGAGGGACGACACAGGTGACAGGGAGGGACGACACAGGTGACAGGGAGGGACGACACAGGCGACAGGGAGGGACGACACAGGCGACAGGGAGGGACGACACAGGTGACAGGGAGGGACGACACAGGCGACAGGGAGGGACGACACAGGCGACAGGGAGGAGGGGGGCAGAGCAGTGGTCGTTGGCCATCCAGAACGCCTTGGGACCGCGACTGGGAATCACGAAGCTCATCTCGTTCCTGATAGCAAGGAACGCACTCCCTGGGAGAGGAAGGGTACAGTACAGACGAGGGGGGGTGGGGGGGTTGGGGGACGAGTGAGGGAGTGGTGGTGGGCGCGGCGGACAGATCACTCCTCATTGGCCGTCCAGTACGCCTTGGGGCTGCGATTGGGGTTCAGAAAGACCATCGCGCTTCCTTATCTCCGAATTGTGCTGTACTGATGAAGGCAAGATTGGGCTTTGCCCAACCGCCAAAACTAGTTTACGCAAGGAGGCTTTTCGGAGACAAAGGGTTTTTGAGATCTGCAAACTTCATCAGCGAAGGGCACAGATCACTCCTCGTTGACCGTCCATTACGCCTTGGGGCTGCGATTGGGATCAAGAAGCCCATTTTTTCCTTTCCTGCGAGAAATGCACACCCTGGGAGAAGAAGGGGAGGGACCACGTCAGACCACCTCAAATCGCCTTCCACCACCCCACACCACTTCATACCGCTCATACCGCCGCTCACCACCTCACATCGCCACGTCACTCACATTCGTTGGGGACGACAGGCACAGCTGCCACGTGGCATCCACTGCTCGCCAACGCTACCAGCACCGTCACAATGAGCGACAATAACAGGGACGACGTGGACTTTTCGCACGGCCTCGATACAGTCACATTGTCCCTGCTCGGCCTGGTTATGATCTCTGCTTTCTTGCGCGGTCTCAGAATCATCGCGGCCTCCCCGCTCGTCGTAGCCTTTCCAAATGGTCTCGTCATAGTCACTGCCTTCCTGCACGGCCTCGGTATAGTCACTGCCTTCCTGCACGGCCTCGGTATAGTCACTGCCTTCCTGCACGGCCTCGGTATAGTCACTGCCTTCCTGCACGGCCTCGGTATAGTAGTCACTGCCTTCCTGCACGGCCTCGGTATAGTCACTGCCTTCATGCACGGCCTCTCCGGGATTGTCGCCGCTGCCTTGCCGCACAGTCTCGCTATGGTCACACCCGTCCCACACGGTGCTATTGTCACAGCCTTTCTGCCCGATCGCGGTCTTTCCAAACGCTGTTTTTTTAGGCGCCTTAAAAGTCTCGCTATGGTCATACCCGTCCCACATGGTGCTATTGTCACAACCTTTCTGCACGATCGCGGTTTCTCCAAACGCCGCGGCCTCCGTACCCTTTCGTGGACACGCGAAAACGGTGGTAACCAGGACGATTTCGTGCACGGCGATGATCTGAACGTCGTCGTCGTTCGCATTCTCGATCCTCGCGCTTCCCAACCCCCGATGGATCAAGTGCGGTTCGAACGGCAGAACACATTCAGGCAAGGACACAAACGTGCACGCTCCCTCGCCTACACGGTGCTTAACGGCTATAATCTCCTTCGGATAACTTAGTTGAACAAAGGATTTATCTCTGATGGTGGCTCCTACACGGTTCTTCGACTTTAGATTTCCTGTTCCTGTGCTTTTGATGTATCACGATAAAGGGCAATCGTTTCCGTCGGCGCCGACAAAGAAGATAACAGTAGTATTAGTGACGAACCGCCTTTCATGTCACGACATCGTCCCCCCGATCCGAGTACCGACGTCGCTTCGCAGAATGGGGTTAGAACGCACAACTAAGGACACCGAGTACTAAAACATAATGAGACACGTGGGGAGGTGGAGTGGAGACCACCCCATGGCCGCAGGAGGGAGCAGAGCATGTTACTGATAAATCTTGCTGCTAAGGACTGCAGAACAGAATTGTAGAAAGAAGCAAACACTGGAACCTCACACTTCCGTCCAAACTTTCGTTTCCGACACCTAGGGAACACATTTTTCCACATCATGCTGCGGTTCAAAACGGTAATGTGGGGCGATCACGCTGTACGGATCTGAGGATTTCATGGTGTAATGTGAGCCGTTAGTTTAGAAGGACGCGATCGCAATTCTGCTCACGTGCGTTACAGTGGATGTGGTGTGGACCAGTCCAGTTCTTGTATGGCGCCCTCCCTGCAGCAATTTCTGTGTGACGCGTTCCTTCACATAACGTGACCGAACTGCTCCTCATATATACCGTTTCGCCTGAAATAAGAGCATTTTGTAGGAGTGCAGAAACTTTTAAAATTGCTTAGGAGAGCTGAAACTATAAATTTATGAAGATTCATAAATATATCCTCATATAGGGTGTAAAATTATAGTTAATCCTTAGGTTCATGGCTGTGATGCTCTTTTGTACTCCTTGGTTACATTTATTAAACTCAGAAAATCCTCCTATATCTATTAGCGCATTAGGCTAACGGGGTCCTAACACTTGGGTGGGAGGATAATGAGGGATGGATTGTAAAGGCCCTTGCACCGCACGGTACGGTATGGCACGGTATGATTCTGCATGTTACGGCCTGGTTCCAGGCGTACGGACTGACAACATCGTTCTGTCAGGGAGGGCGCGCCTCAACAGTTTCGTCCACTTCAGAAGCGGCCCTTCTGACGGCATCCCCTCCCTCGCCACCATCCGACGTCGGCTATGCTGCGATCAGAAAATGAACGCTGCCAGGATCTCCTCGGGAAGGTTCGCACGCAGATAAGTAGACTAAGTGGGTCATTGACCTCAATAGCAGAGTGAATGTAAAATGCTTGAGATGAATTAAAACATGCAAACACAACGATATAAATAAGAGTACAGGGGAATATGAATCGACCTAGCTAGCCATGTACTCTAAGGGGTGCATTCCCTTATTCAAATTCATTCCCGACCGTGCGGTGCGTAAAGTTACGAACCTGTTTCCGACAACATCCTCTTGCCTGCAGTTTGCCGATGCCGTCTGCTCCGACGGTCCAGATGCACGCCAACCGTCTGACGCTTCGAGTCAATTCAGACTCTTCGTATTCGTTCTCGATACTGCATGCTTCCTTAGTTGCGGTCGGGAGTGCACAGTAATGTTCTTACACATTACTATCGTAACACCCCCCTTCACTCCTGGCCGCAGCTCGATTTGACCTACTTGACCACTCCGCTGAGTTCGGAGCATTGCTGATACTGCTGGCGTGGCAGTCGCTTCGTGATAAAATCTGTTGCCATGTTACCAGTCGAACAGTAGGTCAAGTCAACCTTGCCCTTGTCCACTTCGTCCTTCACGAAGAAATACCGCAACGCAATGTGCTTGGTACGGTTGACGAAACCAGGTTTGTTCGCGATGCGGGTCGCGCTCTGGTTGTCGCAGTGAAGACGAAAGGTGGGCGAAGCTGGAATTTTCGCCTCCTGCAGAAGTTCCTGCAGAAGTTCCTGCAAGTAGAGGCCTTCGCGAACTGCTGCGGTTGCTGCGATGAATTCCGCTTTGGCTGACGACAGAGCAACCAACTCCTGCTTCTGCGAGTCCCAGGAGATTGGTCCCGTTGGTTCGAGTCGGAACAGGAAGCCAGTCCTGGACCATCGATTGTCAGGATCTGCTGCGTGATCGGCGTCCACGTCGCCGATGAGGTTGAAGGATAGGGTTGGTGCAGTTGAGTAGCACAGCCCAATCCTGGGCGTTGAAACGAAGAACTGTAGGGCGCGCTGCAGGTCCAGAAGATTCTCAACCGTTGGTTTGCGTGAGTACTGGGTCAGCTGACTTGCGATGTAGGAGAGGTCAGGCCTGCATGTGACAGAGGCATGTCAGAATGTGATGTTTGTGTAGCCTACAGTGGGGTACTCTATAGCGAGTACAGCCCGAATTAGGGTTTGCTATATGTACTCAACTGCATGCTAGTGAAAACCTCTCTTTCCTGTTTCTGACTTTTGCCTAGCATTTCAACATGCTATCGGAGCACGTCGACCCTCTTGGGTCGATCCTGTGGGTGGGCCCCATCTGATGCTTCCGCTGCTCTACTGCTTGTAGCGTGCCCCGGGCGCGTGCTGTTTCCTGCCTGCCGCGTGCTCCGGGCGCGCAGCGATTTTTCTTCCCGCCGTGCGCTCGGGGCGCGCGGCGGTTTTCTGCACCATCGAACCGCGCGTCGCCCCCTGTCGACCACGCGTCGCCCCCCCGTCGCCCGACACGACCCGCACGCGGCCCGTACGGGCTGCGCCAGGCCCGCGCGCGACCCGTACGGGTTGCGCCAGGCCCGCGCGCGGCCCGTATGGCCTGCGCCAGCCAGCGCGCAGCCCGTACGGGCTGCGCCAAGCCCGCGCGCGGCTTCGGCAGCCAGCGCGCGGTTCGTACGGGCTGCACCAGGCCCGTGAGTGGCCCGTACTGTCTCCCCCCTTGCCTCGCGCCGTCCCCCGAGCTTCTGACTGCGCCTCACCCCCGCTGCTGCCCGCGTTCCTGTATTAGGGTTTGGGGGTGGAGAGTATGGGGGTGCCGTGTGTGTGAGCCGTCCCCTTCTCCTCCTCCTCCGTCTCCCAATGCTGCAGCTGCTGCTGAGGGGGGTGGATGTGTTGGAGCCGTCGGAGTGGTTCGAGGGGGGTGTCGTGTGAGCGGTGCTAGTGGTTCTGCAGGGAGTGTGTGTCAGAATGTAATGTTTGTGTAGCCTGCAGTGGGGTACTCTATAGCGAGTACAGTCCGAATTAGGGTTTGCTATATATACTCAACTGCATGCTAATGAAAACATCTCTTTCCTGTTTCTGACTTTTGCCTAGCATTTCAACAAAGCAAAGAGTAGGCATCCCAGCTGCTGTTGGTAAATTTGAACTCCAGCAGGGGATAGGGCTTTGTTGTCAGGTTTGTGGTTTAGTCCTGGAGTTCGGTAGGGAGTGGACAGCGGTGCAGGTGTGATGTTGAATCGCTTTCCTTACTCCTCTGCGTACTTGAACGCTGAGAGGTGAACGGCCGCAGGCGCGTAGGAGATGTTGAGGCCTAAGAACTGCTTCACCTCGTAGTTGCACGTGATGTCGACGCGCCCCGCCAGATTTTTCTCGAACTGTGTTAGTAGTTCTTAGCTCAATCCTGTGTAAAGCAAGTCGTCGACGTAAACTGTAAAGAGGATGTATTCACCGTGGAAATCGCAGCGGTACATCCCAGGATCATGCGGCATCTGCTTGAACCCGATTTCAAGCAGAATGTTGTGCAGGTACTGCTGCCACAGTCTTGGTGCCTGCTTGATCCCGTAAAGGGACTTGCGCAGTTGACACACGCGCGAGTCCCCTTAGCCGTATGCATGCGGCTGTTCCACGTAGATTACGGCGTCTACTAACGCGTACAGGAACGCGTTCTTGACGTTGATCTGGCGGAGAGGCAGGTGCCTTGCGGCTGCGATGGCGAGCAGAATTCGGACAGAGGTGTGACGACTAATCGGAGCAAACGTCTGGTCAAAGTCGATCCCATGCCTTTGGTCATAGCCACGCACCACCCAACGCGCCTTAAAGCGCTCGATCGTTCCGTCCGCTGCGGACTTCACTCGGAAGACCCACTTCCCCGAAAAAACCCTTGCACCCTTGATTGCTGCGCGGTCGACTAGCACCCAGGTATCTCTGGATTCGAGGGCCTTGATCCCTGCGTCCATCGCCTCGCGCCACTCCTTGCTGTGTGGTCCAGTGAGAGCTTGGCGCGGGTTTCGTGGCTCGATGACACGCGACGCTTTAGAGGTTGCAGTGTGAAGCCCAAGCAGATGTAATCCTGAGACAGTGCTGTCGTGGCGACGTTGCGGGACGACTTCCTGCACGTCGTCGTCATCGCTATCTGATTCACGTGGCGCTGGTGGTGCTGCACCTCTGCCGCTTCCACCTGTTCCGCCCATTCCTCCTCCAGAGGAATCGTCTGTCAGAACATATAGCTTGTGCATATTGTGTAGGCTATAGTGGGGTAGCCCATAAGGGGCACAACCTAATTAGGGTTAGTACTTGTACTCAGTTCATTCATAGTTCATTCATTCTCGTTTCTTCTCATGGTTTCAGAGCAGGTTCCCTAGTGGGAACGCTACCTAGGGCCCACCACGATTTTTTTTTTTTCCTGCCCGGAGCGCGCCTCACCCTAGACCGAGTCACACGCGCCCCGTGTGCCCTCCCTACCGTCGCGCCGCCCTTAGTGGCCCCTCGCGCTGCCCGTCGACCCCACGCGCCGCCCTAGCGGCCCCTTGCACCACCCGTCGACCCCGCGCCCCGCCCTAGCGGCCCCTTGCGCCGCCCGTCGACCCCGCGCGCCGCCCTAGCGGCCCCT